TAGGATCCCAATTGGTAGAAATGTATGACAGATGTGATCCAAGAGGAAAAAGGTGTTTACAGCTACAGTTTTGTACCGTTTCATTGTACCACATTAGTTCATCGAATTGCTACGAAAGTGATTCCAACCATATCGTTCGCCACTGTCATTGTTGTAACGGTTGTGATGTGCTCTGCCATCCACCTGAGTTTGAACTATTTTAAAAATACATTTAGAGTTTGTTGTTATCCTAAAGTTATCGTTCTTAGTGTGCCAGTTAGTTTAGCTTAGCGCAAAGACTGGAAACAGGGAAACAGCTAGCCTGGCTCTGTCCAAAAGCTAACAAAAGCAGTCCACCAGCACCTTCAAAGCTCACTAAGTTATATTCCATTGGTTTGATCTGTACAAAGAACCAAAGTGTAAAAGCAGTTTTACAAGTGTGTGCAGTAATTTCCTATAGTCTTATTGTTACCATAATATTGAATTAATTTATTGGTAGGTAGCTAGGCTAGGTCTCCCTCTTTGTGCTAAGTTAAGCTAAGAACCGGCGGCTAACAGCTTCATATTTACCATACAAACATGAAAGTGGTGTAAATCATCATCTAATTCTCAGCAAGAGAACACATAATATAAAATTTTTCGCAAATATGCTTTTTACAGTTTTGTAGACAATGTAAAGGCTTAGTGCCCCTGCAAATTGTTTTGAGTGTATACATATGGAGCAATGGAAGTCATCTGGGTCAAAATCCAGTATGTGCATTCATAGCTACCCTGAGATATCAAGAGATTAATATGCTAACCAGCCAGCGACGGTACTTGAGGCCATACAATATTCCATAATCAATTCTTACAAGCAACACCAGCCACCTATAACATTACAGGGCTGCATTCTGCTTGCTTAAAATCTGTCATCCTTCACTCCCTTGTCTTTGGCTTCTTATTAACTCAGCATCCAAACATTAATTATTAAGACTGTTCAGATGGTTCAAAGACGTGTGAAGGAGCTTTCATACCTCCTCACCTCTGCCAATTAATGACGTACGACAAAAGGATACACAGTTGTCCTCTCAATGCTGAAACGTGATCAGTATCAGCTGCCTCTAATAGTCAAAGGTGGTGAGTCATATTCAATCAACACAGTGAAGCTGTTTCTCTTCTCACCCTCACCTCTCTGATCATTCTGTCATCTCCAGTAACAAGGGCCTGATAGAGTATGTTTTCAGTTTATTGTAATGTTAAATGGTTACTGCAAATGGTGACAGATGCAACTGAGTCGTACGGATACTGAAATTAAACTCTTGGATCAGTACAAGTAAGATGACTGAGCTGTAACTGAACATTTACAACTTTAACAGGATGCACCTAAATCACCATAGTGGTCCAATTGGCTAACTAATTAAATGGAAATCATCTGTGTGTAGTCAAGAGGTTTAAATTGATAGAGGTGTATAAATACACCTCTATTCTAGGGACTGGGGATAGATGTATCTCTGATACAATTGGCTAAGGAATTGAGTAGATGGTTCCCTAATTGGGTACACAAGAAGGTTTAATGAAGGAGTAAACTGCTCTGTAATGGAGTCATTGGCTTGGTAATGGAGTAAATGACAAAGTAATGGAGTAAATGGTTCATAAATTGAATAAATGACTCAGTATTTGAGTAAATAGCTATGGAATTGAGTAGCTGGTTCTGTAATTGGGTACACGACTTAGCTTAATAAAGGAGTAAATGGCTCTGTAATGGAGTAAATGGCCAAGTAATGGAGTAAATGTCTAAATAATTAATGTAATACTACATTCCTCCAGCAGACACAAAAAGAGAGGAGCCAAGCTGAGAAGCTGGAGGTGGCTCTGACAGTCCATCTATTCCAGTCTATTCTAGGTCAGTCTCACCCACCCACCCACCCACAGCAACAGATGTTTTCAAATTGATCCTCCCTCAGAGTGCAGACATGGCCTCCATCCTGCCGTACAGGAAACGCTCCTCTCTCAGCATTGTCTAAAATAAGCAGATGACCGGTGTTTTTGTATTTTTCTCAGACTTACGCAGTAACACATGTACACTGGGACTCCAGAGTGAAATGTTGACCAAACCATATCTTCTGTTACCACCTCGTCTTTTAACTTTTAACAGCTGAAGGGGTTATTGAGGAGTGGGAGAAAAAAACGACACAACGTCGGTACAAGCAACATTACTATTAACGTCTTACATTTAAGACGATCTGATACGAATCTAGATACATGGACTACGATACCATTCAGGGGGTGTTTTGACCCAACTGATCAGGGATCTGTCTCTGCCCCATTGCTGCAGAAAAGTATACTCCCATCATAGACTATTAGATAAAAACAGTGTGCCTTTTTATCACCAAAGACTTCAATGTACTAAAGCTTGAGGTGCTCTGAGTATTACAGCAGATGTGTTAGGGGCATATCTGCAGCTCTGATGGATTAGTTCTGGGGTTATCATCACTGTAGAGCTGTAAAAATACAACTTGGGAAACACGACAGTCTTGCACGCTGTGGTCTGGATGGACTTTGAAAGGCTGCTCCAGGTGTTTGTTTGTTTTCAATTTTGGAGATAGGTTAAACTGGTTATGCAGCCATTCCCTGTGCAGCCATGAACCGCTTCAATTATCAACCACACCAATCCTCTGCTGAATTTGGAGAAGGTCATCTCTGCAATTATGTCCTTTTGCTTAGTCTTATGTAATTCCCTCCACACCTTCCTGTCATACCTGCAGTCTGTCCAGAAAGTTGCACCATGGCTTCTGTTTAAAGTTCATGTCGCCGGCTACTCGTCATTTGAGTATACTTAAAGATCTTATTGCATTTCAACTACTGCAGTAGCCAGGCCGCCTCGACTTCAACATACAATGAAACTACACACATCCTTATCATTAGTTTAAAGGTCCAGTGTGGAACATTTAGGATCATCTCTTGGCAGAAATGGAATATAATATTCATAGGTATGTCTTCATTCGTGTATAATCACCTGAGAATGAACAGAGGCAAAAGCTCCCCCTGGCTCCCCTGTCATTCGCACCCTCAGAATAGTGCTCAGCCATATTTTCTTTTTAATCCATGTGGGGGACTATTCCTTATTTATCAGGGAGGAGTGAGTGGCTGAGGTGAGACTTGGTTTTTGTTGTTTTCCCTGAGCGACTAGGGGAAAATGCATGACCTTCCCTCCACTATAAATAACCATATTATATTATATTCACACCGAAGGTAGATAGCATTGGAGAAAATAAAAAGCAACGGCTGACCTGTCAACCATTACGATTAATAGCAAACCGTGACTCTAAAACCTTGGCCCTCTGAGGCCCCTTCCGTGGTCGTTAAAAAAAGCGGGAACTGCAAACGTTAGATGCTAACATTAATGGACCGACCGATGCAACAATCAGCACAACACAACAAAAACAACAAAACAAACAGCTCAAGCTAAATGCAAATCCTCCTTACACTGTGTTATCATACAAGCTGTGATCACAAATACTTTGGAAGTCAATCCTGTTCCAGTATGCCACTTACAAGTGTCATGTAGAAACCTGAAGCCACCAGTGCACAAACACTGAGAATGGACTTTTTTAAAGAGTTAGAAGGAGTAGATGCCTTTTTAAGGATTTTTAATGTTTAAATTATACTTTCTGTACAGGAAAAACACACCAGACAGTATTGTTCTTTAATTGGTCTTTAAAGATAATTAAGCAACACAACTGCTGATTATTATTTCAGAAGCATGGACATGGAGGCCAAAGACAGAAGGCCAGTGAACACAGTTTGACATTGGATGGCCATGCAGCCAAACAGCCTTACACAATCAACCCACACACACACACAACAACAAACCACAAGTGTGGCCTGCAGTTACTACACCAACCAGGCAGACGCGGCGGTCTGCAACATAAGCAGCAACAAACAACTATTTTGTGAAAAAGCCAGCCTCTGTGTCATCACAAAAAATGAATACGAAACAACTTACCGGTGATGTGTTCATCCAGCAGCGGTCAGCTTGAATCCAATCCAGGAAAGGTGACATTCCCATTGCAGCCCATGTGAAATGTCGGCTGGTGGTGGAGCTACAGCAGCGGGACACCTGCCAGTCAGACATGGAGGGTCTCAGGGTTGGCTTGTTTGAGAGTGAGGAGACGTTTGTGAGCTGAACACAAGGCCACGACATTGTTCCTCTGCTCAGTGCTCCCCTCTTTACTTTCTCCTCATTTACGCCAACACTGAACTGAACACTGAACACGGCTAGCTAGCGTACACACGCACACAGAGGGGCTGACAACGGTAATGATGCTCCGGTCTGGACATTTGTTTGTTTGTTTGTTTTTACATTTTTATTGCGACGAAAAAACAGCGAGGCAAGCATACATACAGCAGACAGGCTGCCAGCGTTTAAAAGTCCCGGTGCTGCCTGTTTGGCCGACAGCTCCGCTCAGAGTGGCGGGGCCCAACGAGGGGGTACTACGGTGGTGAAATCAGTGACAGTACAAACAGGCCACTGTGCCTCCGCTGGTGCTGACGGCTGCACACCGTCGGAAACCCCTTGGCAGGAGACACAGCCGGGTATGGTTATTTTGCCGCAAAAAGAATATAGTAAGTTTAGTGTCCTTCACCATACAGTGGTAAAATACGTATTTTGAAAAGAAAAAGTTAGAATAAATACAAACTTCAGTCATTTAAACAACAAGTGAGAAGTTGTAAAATAAAAAAAACACATGTACACACACAGTACTTTAAAAGTGTGCATGTTTATATTATTCCTATGTAAACTGTTCTAATGTATTATTATTATTATTATTACTGTTGTTGTTGTTGTTGTTGTAGCAGCAGCGGTAGAATCAACGTTAATGTGTGTAATTATCTCCTGCTGCATCTCCATTCATAAACGCTGAGTTCCCTCGTGGTCACGTGACCAGCCCGCCGTCTAATCACGTCGTCCCAACGCTCTGACGCAGGAGATTCAAAGTTGGCAGCAACGTCTCTGCTCGGCTCCTCTCTCAACCCGAAGCTTGTGAAAAGCTTATAAAAGTTGTATATGTCCATGTTTTCGCACGCGTGAAGTGGGTTTTCACTGGGAATGGAAGGTGAAGTCATCGGAGCGGGTCCGTACAGGGCGACCAAGTTGGTGAGTCTGTTGGTATTAAACATATATAACTTTATATAACTTACTGTCAGCGGTAGTAACGTGAGCAGGCACGGTCAAAGCGTTAGTTTTAACGTTACAATGTAACTAACGTTAAATGTGTAAAGTTTGTTTCGTGTATCGACAAATAGCCGCAAATTTAAATTAAGTAGATAATTAATTTTCATACATTAAGTTAAGTAAAAACGTAACGTAACGTTACTTTTGAACAGAGCTTAGTCTTAAGGTTAACGTTAACTAAGATGTTTCACGTATTCATACAGGAGTTCAAGCCTTTTATATCTTGTCCTCATGAAAAAAGAAAAACGGCACCACTAATACTAAAAGTGTGTTAGGAGCTCTGGACTTGACTTGTCAACAAAAGCAACTTTTCTTGTGGGTACACTGTAACGTTAGTATTATACATGTTTCATTTTAGTTGTTAGTTGTTATTACAAATAACGTTTTTTAGCATTCATAGTCACCTCATTTCCAATAATATGTGTAATTGTTTACATTCAGGGTAATTGCTAAGACATGTATCTGCCAGATTCAAGGTAATGCTCATGTGTTCACTGAGTCAATGCATCACACACAACATACCATGGTGTTATTATGTGTGTCCAACCTACTTTAACCCCTGTTAACCCTTATAAATGACTAATTACTGTTACAAATTGCAAACTCTTGCACTGAATGTATATGTTGTAGCATGCGTCAGCAGAATACACTATATGCCAATCAGGTGTAATGTTAATGGCAGGGAATGACTCCGTTCTGTTGAAGTGTCCCTGTAATGTGATGAGCTGCTCAACAGCATGACCCTGAAACCGAAGCAGCCAAATGGAATTCAGCCATCATTCATTTGCTTATTTTCACCCGCGTACGCCTCTCTTACCGTTTCATGTCACAAGACTCTGTATCTCTCATCTCCACAACGGCAAACTTTATATCTCATCTTTCTTGATCTTTCCAGACACAGGGTTTGCCAGTGCTCTTCAAAAGAACAGCCCTACAGTATTTTCGATGTTCGCTCCATTCATCACACGCCATCTAGTTAAAAAGACACAACACAGCGGCCCCCCTGTGTCTGCCTCCTTCATTCATCTACAGTACATGCCTGTTTATCCTTCTCTCTGCCCTGTCCAGCTGTTGTGTATTGTATTTGTGCCATCTGGAATTTAGAGTTTATTCTTAACGTACACAAAAGTAAACAGTAATACTGTTTCCCATTGCACGTTTTAGCTCTTTTCCAGATTCCGACCAGCCAGAGTGAGCAGCATTTGCTCTATACAGTTTGATACTCGCTTGGGCTGTATTAACCTTGTGTGGCCTGATTTCTCTCTCTCTCTCTGCTTTTATCTACTTCTTTCATTTTTCTCTCCAGCCCATCTGGATACTTTGTGAGATCTGATTAGCCATAACCTCTGCACCATCCACTACGAGGACATAATATTCTGTTTGTTGTGATACCTGCCTACTTTTTGTGACAGGAGGATATTGGAGTAGATAGAGCCGTTTCAGAGCGCGCTATGAAATGAAGCACATGTGCAGCGTTGTTATCCGTCACTCACATTAGGCCGTATGCATCCCCTTTGACAAAATGCTCCGAAACAGCCTTCATAACACTGAAAACAGGACGTTTATGTGGGTTGTGTGGGCTCTGTCAGAGTGCACGCCATATCTAACAGTGTCTAACATCTAATATTTGAAAACCAACACTCACAAAATGAGCTGTTTGTGGTATTAGCTTTTTACATTTGTCACACCTCAGTGTATGTCTCCCTGTCACGCAGTGGAATGAAACCATTAAACTCTTCCGTGGGGGGATGCCGTTGAGAAGACACTGGGCACACTTCCGCTACTACGATTGCAGTTTCACGGGCTCCGAGGCTGTGGATTATCTGCACGAGCTGCTGAGGCGCAACTACAACTTTGGGCCCGAGGTGACTCGCTACCAAACTCTGCAGCTGCTCAGGAAGTTCCTCAAGGCCCATGTCATTGAAGACATCAAAGGACGCCACGGGACAGAGGACTTTGAAGACAGTGGCCATCTGTACAGGTACTACTTAGTCGCGCTGTTACTCGTGTTAGTTGACACACCGGAAGGCATCGTTGCCGCGTCTTCCCCACTAAGGTTGCCCTTTCCCCAGTGTTGTCGTCTTTCTCCCCAGGTTCCCCATGCTCTCTCCCCTCAAGTCTTTTCCAACAAGGCCCGTGTTGAGAGACAGCAGTGACCTGCCCAGACTCATTCGCTGGGATGACTACGAAGAGTTGCCTCAGCGTGAAAACATTGCTCCCCTGAAGTCTGCTGTCATGGTGAGAAAGAGACAGGCCGATGTTTCAGCTCCTGCGGTGCTTGCTTTGGCTCGTGCTGTGCTTGAAGCGGAGTAAGCGTATGCAAATTTAATAGAGAGGACATTGCAATATCCGATCATTTTGAGAGCGATCAACCCTCATTTTCCCTCAATTACTACTGTCAGGTGTTATTTACATTATTTTACACTGAAGCAACTTTTACAATACACTGAATTTCAAAAGGAAGGTTCAATGTAACACAATGCAGTATAAGAGCCCAACAAGGAATACTCCTACTACTTCGGGTTTTCGATTCTTGTTCAGACTGCTGCTTTTGGTGTTTGTTGAACTCAGTTCTATTGTATATTTTCAAGGCTGTGTTGTGTTGGACAGCATTATATAGATGGGTGTTTCTAATATTGTGTGCACCACTGTTACATATTCAGAGGAACAAAAATAGAAACCTCACATCTTTCAGTGTAACACACTATGGTACAAAAAAAATCATACAAACTATTGAAAGAACTAAAAATGACTGTTACTATCAATACATCTTTAACACAATGTCGACAACAATTCAAAAAGTATTTTTATTATCTTTAACAATGTTTTACAAAGGGAGGATTTCTTACGTTTACTGTACATTCATCTTATTGCATTATAAGACTGTTGTGTTGGATTTTTGTTACACAGTGCCTTCTATGTTTCTGCTCACTTAAGTTAAAAGGAACTTTTTTTTTTCATGTCTCAATTCCTTTTTAATCAGACCTCAGACTTGTGGAATAAAAGGCACAGTGTAGCTATTGGGGATGTGCATGAATGCAAGCTCATACGGAGGAAGGAGATAACTCCAAAACAAGTGGACCACATCTGGAAATCAATGACGGTTGCGCAGTATGTAACTCGTTTGCATAACTTATTACACTTCCACGGCAGACACTTTGGGAACCACCAGATGTTTGATGCCAATGTCTGTTGTTTTAGTTTGCAGAGAGTGCTGGGCCTGAAGTCACTGGATGGAGTTTTAAACCCAACGCACGTGAAGGGCAAGCACATCGTTCACAATGTGTTCAGTGTGAATAAGACGGGCATTGTCCTATTGGAGAACAAAGCTGGTAGGATGCGTTGATTCACAACTGGAGGAACAATTGTTCAGTTGCAATTTACAATATTATGACGTACCTATCTGTTTTTGCATCTCCAGAGGACATGCCATACTGGGTGATATCAGCAATGAAGTGCCTCGCCAACTGTAAGTTTACTTTTTCTGCTCCCTCTAAATGAATGAATTTATATAAATTAAAACAACACATGTGCTTTGGGGCTGACAGTGGGTATACGTACCTGAAGGAATCTCTTAAATGACTGATGACGAAGCTACATTTTATTTTTCACAAATGATGAGTACCATTTTATGTGCATGTATTAACTGTGTATGTCTTATTGTAATGCATTCTGTTACCTTTCTCAGGGCCTAATGGCAATGAAAGCAAACAGCCAGTGTACCCGGGTTTCGAGAGGGATGTTCTGAGAACAGTAGGAGATTACTTTCAGAGACTCAAAGAACCCCTGCTGACTTACCATCTATATGAAGTCTTTGTCAACATTCTCAGTGAGTGCATCACGGTGTAGTTCCACTGATATCTGTGCACTTCCACAGATAAGCAGCTGCTGGTGTTCATTTTGTGGAGGCTGTATGTTTGCCCTCAGGAGTAAGATGCCTCTCTCCTCATATCTCTGCAGGTCTGCTGCAGGAGCAGGAGGGAGCCACTGAGGCTCTTCAAGTCAGCTGTCTCCTGCTGCCGCCGCCCAACCGGAGACGCCTCCAGCTTTTGCTGCGTCTCATGGCCCGGGTCTGCCAGAATCCTCACCTGCCTCCACTCAATGACACAATTGCTACCCGCACACTGGTACATATTCCTCGCAGTTATTTGCCACTCATCTTTGTACCACATCTTTGGTTTACTGAGGTCAAAAAAGACTAGGATTGTTGGGTCCACAAGCATGTAAACATAGGGACACAGTGTAATGAACAAACAATATAATATAAAATATATAGTCTTGCAATGGGGGCAAGAGAAGAAAAAATATGTAAGCCAAGGGGATGCTGGACAACATTTTCAGGGAGGTGGATCACACTCCTAAAAAACAAAAAGTGCTTTGAATACAGAGTGGTCTGAATCTGAACATGTGATAAACAGACATAACAATTTACAATAAGTGCGTAATATTTGCTACTAATTTTATACACTGTTCTTTATACAAATATAAATAATTATCTTTGAACAACTGAGGTACTCCTGTGCTAATGTTTTTCAAAATTGTATGTGGAAGTTGAAGGTTTTTATGTACACATCACTGTAATCATTATTATGTCTCTTCTGTTAGTTGTTTTTCACCTCTCATCCTGTCTCAACACATTTTGTATGCTATGGGGAAAGCGGAAAGTGAGTCAAGGAGGGATACACCTCATGGTCACTGCATACTTTCCAGCCACTACACCTCCAGACTTGCACTCCTCTCTTCACAGAATCCTGACACAGTAGCAAATACTATGTAGGACAGGGTTGTCAAACCTAATTTAGTTCATGGAACACATACAGGCCAATTTGATCCGAAGTGGACCGGGCCAGTGAAACCATTGCATAATAACCTATAAATAACAACACTTCCAAATTGTTTGCGTTCTTTTAGTGTAAAGAAGTCACAATTAATGAACCACCCGTTTACAGAATAGATGTCTATAGACATTGCTGTCACTACAGGTGCATTACAATTTACAGATCACTGTGATCTATAATGGCACAAAACATTTAGTCACATGTATTTTGGAGATGAAATCAAGTATTAAAGGTCCAGTGTGTAGGGTTTAGTGGCATCTAGTGGTGATTTTGCAGATTGCATGTAACACCATTGGCGTCTGTCTTTGACGACCTGGGAATGAGAACGGGCTGTGAAGTGTGTAGAAGTAACTACAGTGGCGGTGAAACCCACAAAAAATGTGAAGCCGGTTTTTGGTTTGTCCCTGCTGGGCTTCTGTAGAAACATGGCAGTTCAACATGGCGGACTCCACAGAAGGTGACTTGCAGATACTCTAGTTAAAAAAGGCCCATTCTAAGGTAACAAAAACACCACAATTTCTTATGTTTAGGTGACTGTACACTAATGAAAATGTTCTTCTAAATATTGGATTCCATTTCTGCCAATACATCATCCTAAATGTTACACACTGGCCCTTTAAAAAAAAAGTATTAAACGTCTTTCTTTGTGTGGTGGACAAGGAATAGCAGTGCATTTTATTGAAAAATTGGAATTCATTTCGTAGTTAAGTCATCAGTGGGGGCCAAATGTTTGACACCCCTGATCTAGGGAATACTACCAAGGAAAGTCACTAAAAAATCTAAACAAAAAGTAAAATTTTAGAAGATAATTGTTGTTTTTTATGATTTAATATGATACTCATCTCCTGTTGTGGTCTCTGTCCAGATGGTGCAGATGTTCTCGCACTGCGTTCTGCGGTCAGTAGATGACATGGACTTGGACGAGCTGCTTGCCACCAAACTGGTGACCTTCATGATGGAGCACCACAACGCCATCTTCCAAGATCCTCGCAAGCTGCGTCACCAGGTTGACGAGCACCTGACCCACCTCAAAAGAGTTCAGGTCAGTGCACTTTCTTTCCTGACTTTACAATTCCTGAATGAATGAATGAATGAATTGATTAACATGGACGGTATGCATTAGGGGGTCCTGTCCCTCTGCTTTTTGCATCACAGTCACGTTTCTGCCGCATCTGCTCCCTCCCACAGCCCTTGTGTACCAAGCCATATCTGTGCATCATTTGCGAAGACAGTGTGCCAGATTGGTTCAGTCATCTTGCCAAGCACTAAATGAAACGTGGTACAGTCGCTGGTAAATTGAGATATTAATTGAAGCCACATAAAATCTGGAAGTAACATGCATTGTTATGTTAATGTGAGTGGAAAGCACTTGTCGCAGTAGCTTGAGGCACTTAGTGTCCCTGTGTTTAGTTGTGGGTTTTTGTCCCCCATCTGGCAAAATGATCTCTTGGATTTTTCTTCTGTAGAAAACTGAGCTGTGTGATATAAGGCAGCAGCAGGACTGAATCCAGACTGCAGCATTATTGCAGGACGATCATGGGATGAAATTAAATTTACTATATGGAGGAAATTGCATACATTTAGTTTAAACATCAATATTAAATGAAAGGATCATTGCTAATCTCATATTTAAAGGTGGGGTATGGGATTCTGGATAACTCAAATCCAAGCAAGTAATATAACTAATGTTAGCTATTGAGCTCCCATTTATAGAGCCATTGACAGGTACAAACACAGTAGTGTGCTTCCGTTCATGGGCACACCCACGCTATCCTTACTAGTTAGGCTCCTTACATGCTTGCTTATAACTTATTTGAAGTGTTGGATTTTTGACAGTGTTGTGTTAAGAACATAGGGCGAGCTGTAGTGTGTGTGTGTGCAGTGAGAGTAGAGATGGGACAGATACCACCATAATTTACTCCCATCGAATTAGGCCTGAAAAAATAAGGTGGATCGGTGCATCTCTAGTTTCGAGTGAGCGATACAGAGAGAGCTGCAGAGTGATGGTGAATGGGAGCAGAGCGGAGGAAAAGGTGAGCTGTGAGGTTGTCAGTTTAGCAGTAAATGTACTGTGTGTGTTACAGTTTGTCAGTGAATAAAGCCAAAGTAAAGCTCCCGCGTGTGTGCTGTTCCCCAGCCGCTGCAGAAGTAAAGGGGGTTATCGAGTTGGTATTTGTCAGGCAGTTTCACAGGCTGACCACAGAGAGGAGGGTCTATTCCCACACGGGTCCGTCGTCAAATGTGTTTGTGAGAGAGCCAATCAATGTGCCATGCCCAGCTCCATAATGAAACAAGATTCTACTCATTTTGAATAGTAACAAAAATAGAAAATCAATATGTGGCAGTCAGTGTTTGTGGCACTGTGACCCCATAGTAACTCTACAAGCATTTCTTTAAATAGGAAATAGGCATGTGACTTATTTTCCATATAGCATGGGATATACAGATTTTCCATAGGAAATGTGCACTGCAGTGATCAGAATCCCCACAGGAGCAGGCAGTAGTGTGGGATAACACATCTGCGGGAGGGGGCGGTGATGTTTGCAAATCCAGCAGGAGCGGTTGGGGGTGGGATTGAAACATAGTTTCAGACTAATCTGGGAGCTGGGACGGTCACTCTTGTGACATTGCTGTATCTGGAATTTAACAGAGACAGACCTAGTGGCTCAGTTTCTCAGCGATTTTGTGCCTTTCTTCTTGATCGCCTGCATGGATTGGAGTTTATTTTATTCCTCTCTGCACAGTTGGTTCATATTGATGCACGCATGTGTTTTCTTTTGGCAGGCGTATTAGAAAATGTGGAACACAGACTGTATTGACCGTCTGTGCTCAACATTGTTTGGCCTACAAATGAAGGCCTGATTGATTTGATCTTTCAGTCCAACAGTAGATGCATAAGCTTTCAGATCCCACGCTGTGAACGAGACTAAAAACATGAGTTTATGTTAATTGAACGCTGTAAATGGGATTTTAAAACTGTAGCCACCCTGCACAGTGAAAATATTATTTATATTTGCTAGTCCTATGAATTATCCTCGTTAATCTGTTCTGGGGAACATGTGGGTGTAACAAGCCACCTACTCTGCTACAGTACCATCACTAAACCCCTAAAATCAATGCTCAAAAATGTACAAGAGTTGACTATTTGCAGTTAATGTTTATTTTCTTACTCTTAAGTAGGTAAGTCAGTGGCTTCAGGTTGCTGGCTGTGTATTTTGTCACAGTTTGTATGAATATTTATAAAGCTTTTGACCTTGAGTTGTATTGTGGGCTCATGTGGAGCTATTACCTAAATAACGTATTATTTGTTGACAATGATGGCGCAGCAAATAGAGCAAAATCTGAGTGCAAATATGCAGAGTATCCCACTTTGTGTCACTACATATGTACACTAATCCAACCCTTTCTCTGCGTCTTCCATCAGATTAAATACGCAGGATCAGATACAGACTTCAGTGCATCTCCAGCTTTTTGTAAACAGATCAGCAGGGTGGAGTCCGAGGAGCAGAAGGTGATAGGAACCCAGACCCCCCTGCAAGAGCTGCTGGAAGGCCTGATTGCAGACAAAGAACTTCCGGCCAAGGACAAGAGGAAAAGGCTCAAACAGGTATGGCTGTACTGTTTGGAGCTGGGAGGAGGTGTCTCTCTTTGAAGTCTTGATTGCCAAATACTGTACAATCAAAATCAGACTGCTCTCAATCAATATGCTACAGAATTTACATTTGAGCTATCTATGTTTAAAAATGTGCTTGTATGTCCAAGGCCTTGTATTTTAGTACAAATAATGATGCATATCCTTTGGCTGGTTTCAGTTCCAGAGGTCGTACCCAGAAGTCTACCACAGTCGATTTCCCACTGAGGAAAGCAAAGCTGCTGTCATACCTGAGAAAACCCCGCGACTCAAACCTCCTCTCATGTTCTTTAATATCAAGAAACCCTTCCAGCCCTTTCAGAGGAGCTGGAGTTTTAGGGCATAACTGGCCACTCTGCTCAACCCTCAGTGTCATGAGATAAGGAACAATGTGGCTGTAATGGTGCTCTGGAAACAAATCTGGTCACAGAATGGTTACACTATAATTAATGTTTAAAAATAATTCATTAGACTTGCACTGTTAAACTAAGATAATAATGTAAAGGGTCAGTTCACACAAATATACTTAACATTAGTAATGATAATAATAAGACATTCCCACTGTGGATGGCTGCACTGACCCTTTTTAAGAAATACAATTGTACTTATTGTGTTGCTAGAAAACTTGAACAAGTATAGGAAACGATCTAACATTAACACTGAGTTTCTTAACAGATTCTCACAGAAAAAACTGTGTTGGTACAATTTCTACCAAGATATTTTATGTTTAGAAAGGTCTAATAAGCAAGGAGGGTAGTTGACTGACACTGCCATTCCTGTACCTAAATTGAATGAAATGCATTTCAAAAGTATTAATAGGCTATTAGGTGTTAACATTAATAGATTGTGAAAAGTGAATGATCAAAGCACGTACTCTTAAACGTTAATGTTGTTTTTTGACTGTAACAGAAATATTCAGATGCATTTCTAAAAGCGGATTATGTAAATTCATGAGCTTTATTATTATATTATAACTCTAATAATGCAAGGCTGCTTTTCATTTTCATGGTTAACTTTTTGATGTTGAATGGTCATTATGATGTTGAACCTAGCCAATTCAAAGCCTAATCTAAAATCTGTCAATAAACATATCAAGGGTTTGCTAAGAAAGGGAGTGTATGTTACTGAAAAGCTCTAGATGAGCGGATTATTGCATTTTGAACTACAAAAAAAATCATGAATGAGGGAAAAATCTGCGAGGCCTAGGTGAAAAGTGTAGATTGCATTTTCTGTAAAAAAGTGTACAACTACGTTAACTTTTTTTTAATCCTGATGACCTAAATCCTAATCTCATTAAAAGGGAAAAAGGGCGAAAGCAAACATTTCACATCCCTACCTACACCTTACTTGACAGTTCCGACTGTGTGTGCACTGTAAAAACTCATTTCATGTTTTTACTTGTTGGTTTTATTCTGTATATAAGAACTGTTGTCTTGATTGGTACATATTTCAATGTATTCTTCAATGTATTGTATAATGCATTCTCTGTTACCTGCTGCTCTGTCATGTCAATCAGGTTGTTTTTTACTTAATTTGAGACTTAAAATTTGTTTCTATTTTTATAATGATTAAGTGCTGATATTTCTATATGGATCTTCCTAAATGCTCTTGAACAAATGTAATAATGCTGGAACAACTGTTACACTTGAAATTGCTGCTCTGTGCTGGAAAAAAAATCATCAGGATAAAAGTGAATTCATGTTTATGCTGATTTTCATATAAAACTATTTGGCAAATGTAACCGCTTTGTTTTCCTTCTTTTTTTGATGGAAGAACTGAAGAAGATGAACCACTCATAGTTGATGAAGCGTTTACGAGACCTTTATGAATTACACAGCAGAATTCGAAGGTTATCTCCTCTTGTGGGATATGTAACAGAAACCTAGACCCACAAGCTCTACTAGTGTCCCAAATACGGTCATAACTTATGCAGCTATGTGTGAAAATCCAATTGGTGTTTCAAAACAAACTTTTAGCCTACTTACACTATCCTAAGTCACACTGAATGACACCCAGAGTCACACACAACACATGAAGGAGACAGTCAGATTGTCTGTTAGATTGTTCCTAACCTTGGTCTTCTATAACAAAGTAGAACTACGATATGTTGGGTGACTCAGTGTTCAACCTTATCAGCTGCTCTGCTGCTTTAGTCAGCCAAACAATCAGAGAGGAGGCCAAATTCACAAAGAAGAGGCGCAGGCTGTGACCTGTGACCTTGTTTAGGATTGTACACAACTTCACAGCGACAAGGGGAGCACTATACTTATATTCTTTATGAACACTATTTTATGTAACCCAAACATGAATGTAAGCAAAATGCATCCTCCAGATAGGATTGGAAAATTGGATTGGATAATATTTGCATCATCACCTACTGCAGAGCTGTAATGACTGCAACAACATAAACTGACACAGTGTAAATACTGTTGCTGAATAAAGTCTGGAAAGCTCAGTCACATATAACACATATACTTTTAAAACTTCAAATGATCAATTAACGGCAATAAAAGCCCCCAAAAAATAAGAATAAAAACTTTTTTAAATGAATTTAATCAATTATTATCCCATTATGCTAACCCTAACCCCCTAACCCGAGAGGGGGGGGGGATGAGAGACTCAACAGGACAGACACAACGGTAATGGCCAGGAATGAACTACGGACACAGAGACGGCTCACCCAAACAACATTAACCGGGGAGGCATTGGAAGTAAAGTGTCATTGCGGAAAGACCTGCAAGAACAAAAGAGGGCATAAGATACACCAAAGCCGAACCAACTGTGGAAAAGAGGGGCCACAGGTGCAGCGCACAGCGGTAGCACCTGGTGAGACGCAGGAGGATTCCAGGCAGGAAGCACTCCACAGCACTGGAGATCTCTCAGCACCTGTGTCACCTCAAGACCTCAGGAGGGACCCACCTGATGCCACCCCAGGAAACCAACCCCACCCTGCGAGGGAACGAATTAAATGGCCCAAGATGAGCGATAACATAGAGTGGTACCAACTAGACCAAGATCTCGACAAAGTGCTAGAAGCTACAGTAGCAGGGACGGCTGAGCAGAAAGTCAATACTCTCACAACAATAACCTACAACCTGGCAAGGGAGCGTTTTGGAATTAAGGAGAAGAAAGTCAACATCAAGTCGGCACACCAGCCAAGCAGAAGAGAAAGGGAAATTCAACATCTGAGGGGAGAAATCAAGACTCTCACCAAACAGTTCAAAAGAGGCGCTGCTGATGAAAGGGAAGGCATCAAGGATCTGACGAGTCAACTCCGGGAGCAGCTCTGCAGACTCCGAAGAGCAGAAAGCACTCGGAAGAAGAGGAAGGATAGGGAGAACAAAAGATCCCAGTTCACCAAAGACCCCTTCCGATTCACCAGAACACTGCTGGGTAAAGCAAAATCTGGAAGGCTGATTAGCCCCAGAGAAGATGTGGAGGCGCTCTTGAGGGAGACCCATAATGACACCTCCAGAAACCAGGCCCTGGATGCCAACCCAAGCATCAACAGCACAAAGACCCC